CGATGGCCACGGATTCGCGTCAAGTGGGACGCCAGGAGTCTTGCACGGAGCCGGTACCTCGCAAGTACAGAAGCCACGCGGTCCCTAGATGCCGTTGTGTGTTTGGTCAACGTCTCTGGCAGATACTTCTAACCAAGAGGATATTTTGTCAACATCTTGACGCTTCAAGCGGAAGGACGCCGAGGCTCAGGAACAAGAGCCAAAAGTTGAGAAAGGAGGCACACGCCCACATGTTCTAGATCTAGATGAATGCTGCTGTCACAAGACGGAAGAAATGACGCACCCAAAGCGTCTTGCGAAAGACATCGGGTTGGTGGTCTTCGACAAAGTTTCAAACGTGCATACGCAAAAGGACACACCTGTGACTGCAAATACAAGCTCACCGACGACCCAGAGACAACAGCCATCGCCACGAGTAAAAGGACTCTCAGACACGAAGCGACCGATGCAAATCGCTTGGAGGTTGTGTTGAGGAGGCAGCTGTACGAGCCACCGTTCAGACTGCTCGCGTGGCGACGCCGCTGGCGCGTACGTCGGCACTTCGTCGGGCAATTTGCTGCTGCTGATGGGCGACGGGAGCATTTTGTCAAGTGACACGGTGGGTGTTGCGGTCGTGGACCCAAATCCTCCTGAAAACGCCTGGGACCCACTTCGATCCTCCGCGGACATCGCCTTGTGAAGCAACGCAAGCCGCTATTTCTCTGCCGACAACCGCTTCGATCGGACGAGTTGCAAAGTCGCCCGAAGCCTTTACGTACTGCATCGGCTATGAACGTGGTCAGTCTGAAACGCACAGCTGGGGCTGTTTGAGTTGCCTCTAATAATATGGTATCGACCGCTTTTTCGCACCACGATCGGCAGCCGCTTCGAGCCTCTCTGGCAGTCGCATCATCCGACATGCTTCGATTCTATTTCCTTGCGTCCCAGCGCCATTGACACTAATTAGTATATAAAAGGCTGGTGAGAGGTGTTTTCCAGTCAATACAATTGTACTAGTATATTTATGGCACACGACGACACACTGTCTAAATGGTTGACACGACTAAAACTTAGCCCGTGATGATGCGCACGCCGCAGCACGAGACACCCTTGGCGTCCATCGTCGTCGGCTGCTTGATGAACATCATGTTGGTCGGCATCTGGTACTCGTTGGCTAGCCACGTGACGGTCGCCGCGTCAAAATGCCCGCAAATCGACACGAAATCTGTGCGGAGTTTGGGGTAAATCCGGTCAAAGAGCGCAATCATCTCCTTGAGCGACTCAATGTTGGCCATTGCGTCGTCTGTCGCCTCGGGGTAGACGTGCACGAACCGGAGCGTCTCGGTCATCTCGTTGCTGCGGACATACAAGATGACCTTGTTGAGCACTGTGAGGTCGGCGCTCTTGATGAAGAAGACAAATGGCTGCTCCTTGATCGACTTGATGGTCTTGACGAGCATCGACACGCGCTTGTTCTCGCGCTCGAAGAAGCGAATGTTGTCTTCCTTGACGACGACGTCGGCTTCGAGCGCGACGTCAGCGGGAATGTCCTTCTTGGCGCGGGACGGGCAGACCATGTTGACGAGGAAGATGACGCAGCGAAGGACGGTCACGCGCGCCAGCATCGAGTAGACAAGAAAGCCGACGCCAAGCGCGTAGTAGGCAAAGTACATGAGCACGGTCGGGTCGCCGAGGAGGATGCCAAAGTACCCGATCGCAATCATGGTTGCACCCAGGATGCAGGTCCACCACGGCGCTTGGACGTCGCGCGGAATGTCTTGGCGCTTGATCTTGAGCATCATGCAGCCCATCGCAAAGAGGAACATCATGGACAAGAACGAGTAGGTGTAGACACCCGAGAGCACGACGTTGTTGCCATCCGAGATGATGACGAGCGACGCCGTGAGGAGGAAGAAGGCGAGGATGATCCAGTGGTTGGTGCCGCGCCACTTGTTCTCAGCCGCAAAGAATGCTGGCATGACGCGGTCGGACGCGAGGCGACGGACGAGACCCGTCATACCCACATACGACGTCAAGACGGCGCCAGACAAAACCACAAACGCATTGATCGAGACGAGCCACTGAAGCCACGAGCCGCCGGCCAGAAAGCCCATGACGGACAAGACCGTGTCCTTCTTGGCAATCAAACCCTCTTCGCCGTAAACCGGCAGCATGCCGAGGCCCATCCACGCGAGGAAAAAGTTGTAGCACGACGAGAACGCCCACATGTTGCGCATTGTCTTGCGAAAGACGCCGGGCGCTTGGTCTTCGACGTAGTTGGACGACGTTTCGTAGCCGGTGACACCGAGCATCGACGCCGAGAAGCCAAAGAAGAGCGCCGTGAACCAGCTGCCTTCGATCTGCGAGCCGACAAAGTCGACGTTCGGGAACGGCGTGTGCATGTTGGCCTTGAAGATCTCGGGGTTCTGGATCTAAAAACACGCAAAAGATATGAGATTGCACTTTCTACGACGAGCGTTTTACCACATGGATGAGGCAGGCGACACCGAGGATCGTGAGCGTTGTGACGTGGAAGCTAAAGATGCAGAGTGCGACGATCGATGACTCGGTGATGCCGAGCAGCGTGAGGCAGGCAAACGCGCCGAGGACACCGACCGTCGTGGGCACCACCGGGACGTCGGGCACGACCGACTGAAGGTAGTAGCACGCCGATGTCCCGGACACGACCGCCGTCGCCATGTACGCCATGATACTCAACACCGCGGCGAAGGATGCGACGCGCTTGGACGTCGTGTTCAAAAGGCAGTTGTACGAGCCGCCGTTGAGCGGAATGGCCGTGACCACTTCTTCGTAAATGAAGCGAAACATGTAGAGCACAAACGACACAAACACCATCGCAATCGGTGCGAGTCGTCCAGCCTTGAGCGTGACGAGACCAGCCGAGTAGAGCACACTCGAGAGAATGTCGTTGCCGGCAATCGACGTGGCCGGCCATTGGCTCAAAAGATGCCGGGGCTTGTTGAGCTTTTCGCGGATGCCTTCGAGCTCGGCGTCGCTCGGGTGGAGGTTCTCGTGCTTGCCGAGCTCGCTCGGGTAGATGAACGACGGGCCGGCCGTCGCGTCTTCCTTGAGCGTGATCTGGAACGTGCGCTTCCGCACCGGCTTGGCCGGGCTATCGCAATGCTGGGTGTACACGGCTTGGGGCGTCGCCATGCTCTGGTGAAGTCGTCGGCCGAGCAAATTGAAAAGTGAAACGAGGTTGTTTCCGCGGAAATGTTTGGTGACGCGACCACTCTCTGGACACGAACGACCGTCGCACTCGTGACCGAATTCAGAGACGTTAACGATGTGCTCGCTGTCGACACGTCCACCTTGTACCTATCCATCAGCCCAAAAAAGACACGGTTGAGATCGCCCCGATGTGGCGCACCGATGTGGCTCGATCCAACTCTAGAGAGATGGATGAACCACCCAGGAGATGCTGCATGTGCACCCACACCCAAGCATCCGAGGACGCGTCCAGTCGAATAGGCAAATATGCGCTCGCTAGTTGCGTCGGCCACCGACAAGAGGAGCCGAGCTCACAACACGACGGCTCTGGACCGCTCGTTTAAGGTCCGACGTACGAGCTTGCGCCGGCCATATCATGGAAGAAACCGCATGTCCCGGCCCAAGCCGTGTGATGTGTCATCCCACTCTGGCAGTGGACACTGCACCATCTGGTGCAGCCAGGATCGAGCGTCGTCTCTGGTCCTGCGTGGCGAACAAGCAAGTCAAAGCATCCAGTCCTAGTCATAGCTTCGTGGTGTCCAGCAACGTACACCCGTGCCGCTGTCGTCCACACGCGCACTTGTGCATTTCCTTCAGGAATTGGATGTGGCGCGAGCGTAATGATCCTCCACCCATGTTTGTGGACCAGCTGTTTTGGGACTTTTGACCTTTGTCCTTGAAGTCCTGGCTGCGGTCTGTCCCACGCGGCAGTGGCGCCAGGCGCCACATCTCGCTTCGAAAGAAAGGTTGGGTATCTCTCCCGATCGCCCCACCATCACGGCCAGCATCGCCACGGCCGTCATTATGGTCAGCGACCCACCCACGTTGACTAACTCGACCATACAAAATGCCCCACCACTTCCAAACCATGCAACGTATCCACTCGCGGTTGCTCTTCAAGATCTGTCGATACGCAGGTGAGACTCTTGGCTCGAAGCTTCCCTAGCAGCAGCGGCCATATCGAGCGCATGTATTGTAGCTTGACTTTACACCTGCTATCAGGTGCACATTGGAAGCGCCTCGCAAAAGGAGCGGTTGCAGTATGAGTTTATGGAAGAGATGGGTGCCATGGAGCTCCTTGGATGCGTAGGTACCGCTTCTACAGGCTCTATATGACGCACTAGGGTGACGTCCTACCTCCCATAACGATGTGTTGGACACTGCCCACGGTCGATGGCCACGCTCACGAGGTCGTTGGATGCGTTCGTGGTCTGTCACAGGCTGGTACTCGTCGATGGTCAAGGCGGCGCTCAACAACCGAACAGAGGGGCGGCCCCGAGCAAAGGATGTCTTGCTCCTTAATGGCCTCCAACCATCGGTGGCTCGACTTCACACAGCGGAGCGCGGGGCATGGCAACGGACACGGGTACCTACGATCAGCCTCGTAGCTGCAGCGAAGTATGAAATCCTTTGTTGCAGCACAAGCCGGTGACCGACAGGTGCGTTGGCAAGAGATGTGCAGTCGTCGTCAACATCCTCAGGTCCATGGCCACCCAACTTTGGTCACTTCACGCCCACGTAGCTCGCCCACGTATAGAAGAAACCTTACCCCGACAGCAAGTCGCGATCCTACACCGACACGTCCAGCGCATATCCGTATAGATGGCGACGGGTGTGACGCTGAGAGGGCGACGGTAAACAGTGTGTCTGTCGTCTCTCGAGCATAGTTCCGACAAACTGTCCAGTTGCAACAAAAGCAAGCAACGACACTGGGATCGCGCCCGGCACTTGCTCTCTCCGAACAAGAAGAGCACTTTGTGCATCCAACAGTAGACGACTCGTTAAGGTTGTTACCCTGTAATGACGCGGACGCCGAGCGACGAGACCTTGTGGACTGCAATGTTGCTCGGTTGCTTGATAAACATAAAGTTGGTCGGGATCTTGTACTCGTCGGCAATCCAAAGAATCGTCGCCGGATCAAACTGCCCGTGCACCGACACAAAGTCCAAGTGCAGCTTTGGGTACACACCGTCAAACATGGTGATGATGTCCCGGAGCTCGGCAAGCCGGGCGCGTGTCGCTGCATCGTCGTCGGCGTACACGTGAAAGAACCGCATGTAGTGCGTGATCTCGTTGCTCCGGACATACAGAATGGCCTTGTTGATAAGAACGAGGTTGTTGTCCTTGACAAAAAACACCATTGGCCGCGAGTTGATGCGCTTGATCGTCCGTGTGAGCATTGCGACGCGGTGCGTATCGTGCTCGTAAAACTTGTGCTTGGTCGTAGTTGCGAGACTGCTGCGGTCGTTGTCGTCGTCCGTGTGCTGCTGGACGCGCGGAAGAACGTTGGCCTCGACATCGGCGATCGGGTCGGTCTCGACCGGCGCTTCCTTGCCGCACACCATGTGCACGAGGAAGATGAGGCACCGGAGCACCATCATGCGCTCAATCATCGAAAAGACGATGGCGGCAATGACCATAAAGTAGAGGAAGAACACCAGCAACACTTTGGGGTCGCCGAGGAGCGACCCAAAGTACCCGAGCACGACCAGCGTACAGCCAAGAATACACGTCCACCATGGCGCGTGGACCGCGCGGGGGATGTCTTGGCGCTTGAGCTTGAGCATGATGCAGCCAAAGCCAAAGAGAAACATCATCGAGAGGAACGCAAAGGTAAAGACGTTGCCAAGCATGGTCGCGTCGGCGTCGAGCGCCAGAATGAGACTCGACCCAATGACAAAAAACGAAATCGAAATGTTGTGCGGCGTGTGGCGCCACGGGTTTTCGTAGCTGAGAAACTCGGGCATGACGCGGTCGTTGCTCAAGCGCCGAATGAGCCCTAATAAGAGGTCATCAATACTGGCACAAAATCAGGAATTTTCAGAAAATTTTGAATTTTCGGACAAATCAGAAAAATGGCATACCTGTGATGCCCACATAGCCCGTGAGGACGCCGGCCGACAAGACGATGAACGCGTCGATCGCGACCCAGAGCTGAAGCCAGTGACCACCGGCCGCGAGGCCCATTTGCGCCAGCACGACACTCGGGTTGGCCATCATGACGTCGATCGGGAGCACGCCGAGACTCAAAATCGCCAGCGAAATGTTGTAGACCGACGCAAGCATCCACATGTTCTAGTTCAATTTTGTCATACGTACTAGTATACGAGAGGACAAAAGATATAAAGTACGTACCCGCATCGTCTTGCGAAACACGCCGGGCTTTTGCTCTTCGACAAAGTTGGCCGAGGTTTCAAACCCGGTGACGCCGAGCATCGACGCCGAAAAGCCGAAAAAAAGCGCCGTCATGAAATTGCCAGAGACAATACTCCCGACAAAGTCAACGTCGGGGAATGGCCGTTTGTAGTTGGCTTGGATCACGTCCGGGTGGTGAATCTAGTTCATATTTTATAATCGAATCTCCAACAAAAGCCGTAGAAAATGTACCATAAAGATGAGGCTGGCGACGGCAACGACCGTCAGCGTCAGCGCATGCAGGCCAAAGATCACGAGCGCGACGATCGACGACTCGGAGATGCCAATGATGTTCAAGAGGCCGAACACTCCCAGGAGCGCAATCGACGTGCCGAGCACGGGCAGTCCTGGCACCTAATGCATACTAGACCGTTAGGTTGATACGCATACATAGGAAGATGAACCTGCGTCTGGAGGTAGTAGCAGGCCGACGTGGCCGAGACGACGGCCGTTGCGAGGTACGCGAGGATGCTCAGACAGGCGGCGACGGCCGCAACGCGCTTCGAGGTCGCGTTCAAAAGGCAGTTGTACGACCCGCCGTTCATGGGAATCGCGGTCACGACTTCTTCGTAAATGAACCGGAAGAGGTACAAGACGAGCGAGACCATGTAGTACATGTCAAACAGAGGTCGAATCGACCACCTGACAAGGAAATCTGCAAAAGATATTTGTGCACGGGCGAGAGGCAGCCGGCCTTGCTGGCGACGATGCCCGCCGAGTAGAGGACCGAGCCTAAGAGGTCGTTGCCCGAGATGGCGGTCGCGGGCCACTCGCTCAGAAGGTGCTTGGGCTTGTTGAGCTTGTCGCGGATCGCGCGCAGGTCGTCGTCCGGCGCCGTGACGTCCTCGTAGCCGCAGTCCTTGGTCGGGTACAGGAAGCTCGGCCCGACCTCGTTCGTGTTGACGACCGGGATCGTCAGGTACCGCTTCGTGAGGCCGTCGCGTGGCGACGTGATCGCCATGTAGTCTGCCATCGTGTTGCAAAATGGGCGAAATGGAATATCCAACCTGACCGGATAGGAATTCGCCTAGATAGTACAGAACCAATCAACGTGCACCCAGGCGCGACGCCCTTTCGCATCGAATGCTCCTGGTCATTATGACGCTACGCACCAAGCTGCACGGACCGAGCAGCCAAGCGACTGTAGCTGCAAATGCATGCCAAGACTTCCTGGACCAACTGCGATTGCAACCACTGCTCGCGGTCGCTCCACGCTGGTGCACAAGTAGAGTTGTGCCATGGTTGCATCTCGCATGTCTGGTATGTTGCAGTGGCATGTCCCTGCGCGTGATCACCGTCACCTTATTGACGTTATAGGTGGCAAGCGGAATGAACAGATCGTGGCCTCTTCGATGTTTTGGGCGTTCGAGTTTACTGAGTACTAGTCCGTACTAGTACCAGTATTTCCGTGGGTTCGGCTCAGAGCTAGATGGTGGAGGCAGCGAATGGACGTGAGGAACCATGACCATGAAGCTGCGGAGTCTTGACGATCTAACGTTAGGGCTTCGACTACCGAGTGGTGCCACGCTGCTCACAAGTCGAAGGCACAACTGGTGGCAAGTTTCTTGCGTAGGCTAATCTGGGACGAAGCGAGATTTCGCGTCAAGGATGATGGATACACCGCCGTCGCATTCTCTCAGTCCTTGGACACGTAGTCGACGAACAAGCTGGAAGGAGGCGCAGAGCGTACGAATGGTCGTGCGCTGATGGTTTCTGTGGCATTGCCATCGTCGTCGTCGTGCGACAATGTGGTGTCGGCGTCGTGCAAAGGTGTAATGGTACTGAACAAGGTAATTAAACGGAAGTATCCGGATAGCCAACAGAACCGTTCGATCCAACGAGGCACGGCTAGGACGCGCAGGTAGAACGACGTACTTGAGTCCAAGAAAGGAATGCACAAAGGGTTTGCGTCGACTTGGTATTGTCGGAGAAGTCATTAAAGAGTCGACTGTCGCAGCGACGAGGAAGCCCTACCATATGTTATAGAAACCATCAGTCCCGCCAAATCTCAATATCATGCTGCAAACGGTGATGGACCAAGTTGTGTGCCCACATCGAATCGCTTCTACTAGAGTTCATGGTGTGGACATTTAGTGCTTCTCAACAAAGCCGTGCAAATCACGTGGTGCTTTCGTCTTGGTTGTGTAGGTACAAAAGCGCCGTTTTTGCTCTTCGTCGGCTTCGCCAGCTCCTCGCGCAACACGAGTGGCTGCGCCCCGCGGATCGCGCTCCTGCCTCCACCTGCCTAGCTCAGTTCCTCAACCAATGCACAAATCGGGGGAAAACCTGCAATTATTGCGTATTTATATCGATTTTAATCGAGGCCCCACTTCAACAACAACAAACAGCGTGGTTACCCTATATGCCCCACCTTCGACTCAATCTGCACTGCGAGGACGTTCGTTCCAAGGTACTATTTCGTTCCCAATCTCCCAGGGAATTTTTCCTGTAATTCACGCACCTTTCAGAAAATGGGGCTAGCAAAACGGGCTTTTTGGTCGCCTGAACCACTCGTGACGCCACTGGCGACAGACGTACCGCCACGCAACGGTGCGCACGTAGTTGATGAATCAGTTCACCGACCAACCGCTGCGTAAGAACACCCGCCGAGTGTTTTCAACTCCGAGTTGGGACCGAATGCCATTGCCGCGCATAATACTGCAAAGCCTTGCGTACATAGTCGTGTCGGACAACAATACCGACGGCGTCAGCACGAGCTGCGTCGCGTCCGCCTCTCGCGCACCTTTCTACGACACAGACGCAACGACACAACCTTGGAGAAATCTCACCAATTTTGTGTTTGATGGGATTGCACAAGGTGAAATGTGTGGCTCTTCGCTTCACTTCACGTACTTATGACTTTCTGGGAGCAGCTTGGGTTTTGCACCATTAATTGGACCGAAGCTCTATGGCTGGTGATGTCTCCCTCATGGCGGCGTGGTTCCAATGGCCAGCGACAACGGAGCGCTTGCAACTGGCCCCGTCGTGCTTGTGAGCCATCGACGACGTCAACACAGAGGTCGTAAGGAAGTTGAACGCTTGACCTTTTGTTTACCGACGATGGCGCACTGCTCGCTCGATGCTGTGATAAATACTAACCTCGACTCGATCGAGGATGCTATCGTCAGTTGAGAAGGAACGCGATGCTGAGCGGATTGCACGGCAGCGTCTTGGTCGCTTCTTTGGCCGCGCGCTTGCGCGCTTTGATGCGGAGGTACTTTTCACGCTGGCGTTTGCGCTCCTTCTCGCGGTTCTCAATGTAGTGCAGTCGGAGCTTGGCCAAGACCGAGTCGCGATTATCTTCATAATACTTTTTCGAGCGCACGCGGTTCGTCTCGAGCTGCACTTTGGTGAGCACTCGTTTCTTCTGTGCGCTGGACGACATTTTTTAAACTGGAAACCAAAACACACGCGCTGGCCCAAGCGCCACATCAATACAAGGTGATACGCTTCCCAAACCATCTGGTTGCCCTTTCGCTCGTGTAATCGCACCCGATCAAGTCCACAGTGACGCCCGATGGGTGCGCATCCTCCGCGCTCTTGCCCTTGCATTCGGTTTCATTGCATCGGCGTCGCACTATAGCCCTGTCCTTGACTTGACCATGATGACGGCGTAGACGATCAACATGTAGTGTACACGCTAGATTCCGATAGGACGGTACACGAGAAAGCACTCCTGTTTGCATGAATCTGGCAGGCCTAAAGGCAGAGGTGGACGACGAGTAGCCGTGCGGAGCTCTTAGAAGATCAAGCGCAATGCCACCCATGTGTACTGGCTGACGAAAGGATGTGCGGCTCAGAGATGTGGCCGCGACGTTCCGGAGCCCTTTCTAAATTTCATACATCGTCAGCCACATCACAGTGGCGTCGTCGGGTCGGCTCGCCACCTGTACGCATGGGATCTCCATCCATTTCGGTGGATGTGCTCTATTCGAAGATAGGTTTTTGCAGGGAGCAAGCGACGGACGCCAGCCAAAGTGCACTTGATGGCGGCTGCATCTTGGATGTTGGAAAAGCAGCGTGTCGACTAGACGGGGCACTTCAAGGACGTGGGGCAATAGAAAGCGTCGGTACCAAGCGACAGGCGTCATGGTGCATTGGAGGTCACGACGACAGGGCGGTGGGTTGTGGAGTTCGAGAGATAGTACATGTCGTGCACAACCCCCGTGCACTGGCCGCTTGCACTCGTATCACGATAGCAGGCTTTTCCACTGACAGCGGACCGAGCGGACCGATGTGGCACATCCCCACCATGGCCACCCTCGTAGCCCCAGTGCTCCGTGGCGGAATTTCGATGCAGTTACGCACCAACCAAAGCTCAAAGTCGACCATGTTGCGTCGTTGGAGCTGTGGGTTGAACGCTTGGCGACCTTGCAACATATTGGGTTTCCATTCCGTAGTGTTCCTTCTGCGCGCGAGCCCTCGATACGATCATTGACTCTGGCAGACTGCCACATTCCCCGACGCCGCCTTTCCTGCACTGAACGCACCGCAAGAAGTGATATATGCTAGCATGTCAAACAGAGGTCGAATCGACCACCTGACAAGGAAATCTGCAAAAGATATTTGTGCAACCAAAATGCGGTGCAATCCGAATCCCACGAAACACAAGAATTAACTTTTTAAATTGGTATTCCACGACGTGAAACCGTAGTGTCCTTTGGCTTAAATGAGCACACGGCTGGGGCTTCGGGAGCGACTCGAGCTCTCTCGCCTCAAGCTCGAAGCCTCGTCGCCAGCCGTCGCGAGTGGTGCGATTCTGCGTGTTTGTCCTCGATCGATCTCTATTTTCTCATGGACTTGTCGTAGGTGTCACCCCCGAAGACGACACACCGGCAGACGACGACAGCATCGATGGTGAACCGTCCGAGAACGCTCTGGACGACGACGACGGGGACGAGGATGCGATCAACCAAGACGAGGAAGAGGACGACGACGATGAAGAGCCTCTGCAACAGCCGACGGGGGGGCGCCCCCGCACGCTCAAGCTCCAGCACAGTCGCTTCCCAAATCGCACCCCCACGATTTGTTTCGACTATCCGCACGACTTGCACGTCGAGCGAACGTACCCAGCCGGTGTCAGCACGAGCGACGTCCCAGCCGAGACCAATATTGTTTTTTTCAAGTGCTACTGGGAGCGCAACTGCGTCAAGAATGCCTTTGTGCGCGCGGGCTTTCGCCGGCTTCTCAAAGGGAAAAAGTGGACGGGTGCATGGATCAAGCACTTGCCTCGGACCGCGTTCAAGGCGCTGCAAGCCCATCAGAAAATCAACCATTTTCCTGATCCGTGGGTGATTGGCCGGAAAGATCGGCTCATGAAGACCATTAGCGCCATGAAGCGGACGTTTCCAGCGGCGTACAGCTTTGTGCCCGAAGGCTTCTTGCTACCCGGGCAGCTCGATGCGTTCATGCGCTGCCTCGACCGCGAATCCGGACCGTCCATGTGGATCTTCAAGCCGCCGGCGTCGGCGTGCGGTCGTGGCATCAAGGTCGTCCACTCGTCGCAGGTAAAATAGGAATATGCAGTGTCTTTTGGTCTAAAAAATCATGAAAAATGGTAGCTCGAAAAGCAGCTCAAGAAAAAACGCAAGTGGGTTGTTCAGCGGTACCTTGCATCGCCGTATTTGATCCACGGCTACAAATTCGACTTGCGCATCTACGTCGTCGTCACGTGCTTTGATCCGCTTCGGATCTACCTCTTTCAGGAAGGCCTCGCGCGCTTTTGCACCGTGCCCTACGACACGGAGGCGGCCCACCTCAAGAACCGGCTCATGCACTTGACCAACTTTAGCATCAATAAAAACAACGAGCGATTCAAAGCGTCGAGCGGGCCCACGTCGACCGACGGCAGCAAGTGGAGCCTCACGGCGCTGCTCGCGTACCTTGAAGTATTCCCCTTGCCCTGCCCTACCCCTCATTGTCGTGCTAGAAAGACGGCAAGGACATTGCAACGTTGCAGGCCAAGCTGCATGCGATCATTTGCAAGACCATTATTGCCGCTGAAGCGCACATAACGCCCTTGACGCAAACATACGTCAAGCACCGACATGCGTGCTACGAGCTCTTTGGCTTCGACTTGATGCTCGACGCAAGCCTAGAGCCATGGCTCATTGAAGTGAACGTGTCGCCGTCGCTCATGGGCTCGTCGCCGCTCGACAAGCGCATCAAGGGCCTCCTCATGAGTGATATTTTCCATCTCGTGGGCCACGAAGCACCCAGTGCAGCGATCGGTCGTGAGAAGAAGAAACCTCCGAGCACCTCGTCGCGCAAGCTGTTTGACGTCGTACACGACCCCAAGATCACGCAGCTCGATGCGGGCCACATTGCGCTTTTCTGTGACGACGACTGGGACATTGTCCATAGCATGGAGGACGAGATGGACCGGCTCGGTCACTTTCGGCGACTGTACCCAACCGACACAAGCGAAGACCCGTATGCTGCGTTCTTTGCCTGTGCGCGGTATGCGAATCGGCTGTGCTTCAAGTGGCTCCAGACGCGCCGCCGTCACGCGCTTGCAAAGAAGGCGTCACTCCCGAGTCGCACGCCGCCGATGAAAGTAGCGTCCAAGTCGCTCCTTCTGAAGCCGAGTGCATCGTAACGTGTACAATATATAATTTGATCGCTAAAACGTGCGGTCGACAAGTGTCTGTCCAGTCGTTCTCGTAATATGGCTGGTTTGGAGTAGCGATCGAGTCGATTGCATGTACAGCAGACTCATGACGACAAATCCATCCTAGCCCGACGATACAAGGCTTGCATCTGCATAATGTAAAACACGCTTGTTCTGGATCAAGCACTGGAGGTGCGGTCCATATTAAACCCGTCCACAAATGCAAAGCCACAAGTCGTTGCCAAGCACATACGACCGCAATGGTTGGTTTACTGTTAGTGCTTGACGACCAGTAGCGGCGCGCGGGACTCGAGGTTAGCCGTCGCATGCAGGGCTTCCGAATAGCCGTACCCAAGTGCGCGGAGGCTGTGCATGACGGCGGTCTCACTCACGAGCCATGAGAGGATGATGGCGGCGGCGCAGGCTAGTGCCATGATCGGGTCGACGCCGCCGTCACTGGCGACAGCCTCCAAAATGCCGGCCACAATCGGCGGACAGATGGGCGAGAGCGCGCAGACGCCCCACCACACGTACTTGATGCGCTGGACGAGCAGCGGGTCCGTCGGTGCCGGCTGGCGCCCGCCATAGTGCAAGAGCCGTACGAGAAGCATGATCAACAGCGCCAGCGAGATCGACCCGTACAAGACCCAGAGTGACGTTGGTGAGAGCTCTTGGTCATGGCGCACGGCGTCCGAGACGAGCTTGGTGCCCACGCCGATCGCCAGCAACGTCGGTAGCAGCAAGTAGTGCAGTATCGAGTAGGTAAACCCGGCCCCAATCGACCGCCGCATCGCATGCATCGCGCGTGGCGGCTTGGTCGCAAAGTAAAAGATCGCGAGTGCAAAGATGATGAGGAGCGAAAGCGACATGGCGATGTAGTACGCTAGTGGAAGGTCCGTGCCGCGGCTGTTGATGACCGTGCTCACGACCGACTCGCCGAGCGCCACCATGACAAGGCAGCCTTCGCGTTCGTTGACGTGATCAATGTTCATGGCCACGTACGTCCCAGGTCGCTTGGCGAAGCGCACGAGCGCCACACCGAGAAACGTCTCGAGGAAGAGCGACGCGAGGTAGACGCCGATCGTCACACTTGGGCGGTCAATCCACAGCGCGATGCCAAAGAGCGTCATGGCGACCAGGCCCATGCTCATGTCGGCGCCCGCCTTTCCGCGCACGTGTGGGAGCGACCAAAACACCGACAAGTTCATGCAGAAGAGCGCGGCGCGGATGCAGAGGAGACCGATCGTGAACCCGCGACCCGGCTCGCTCGAGAGCACCATACCACTGAGCCCGATGAGCAGTACATACAGAAAACCGTAGTGCAAGAGCGACGACTCGGAGAAGCGCGCGTTAAAGTGCGTGTAGAGATGCCACGACGAGGCGTACATGAGGCAGAGCAGCACAAACGCTGCCGCGCCACGGAGACTCAGGTCGTCCTTGAGGCCCTCGGCCACATTGGAGCAGGCAGCGACCATGATGAGGTCGAGGAAGAGCTCGAACCATTGCGCCGACTTTTCTTCGTATTCACCGGTCCAGTCGGCCGAGAGGACGGTGTCGCCGTAGAAGGTCCGCAGCATCGCGCAAGCAAGTGCAAATTGCAGGATTGTTGTGATAAGATCTGACGCCACGGGATTTCATTGGACGAAAATAGATTAAGGAAATGATTGGTGGATTTAGAATATATGCATCATTTTCATCCAATCAAATGGGGTCTCGTGGCAACACTTGGGCGCTGGGATCAGGGATCGTGGTCCGCGATCGTTGCAGTATGATCGACAAGGGACAGGCGTCCCGAGAGGCTACTAAGCTCGTACCAGTTGAAGCGAGCGATCCATATGCTGCAGTACATCGCTACGTGCCCAGCGGTGGGCTGAGCAACATGGGTCTAGATCACGACCGCGACAGCGCGTATCCATGGACTTCATCGATTGGCCTCCCAACTCGAGCTCCATTGAGGTATGGCGAGGCGAGATCAGTGGGGGGATGTTCAAGGCCACACGCGGTCGATCCATGAATTTGGCGTATGTTGACAGCTTTGGTTGCTTTGTTTATATTGCACCTTTGGTGCAGGGTGATTATCATATCTGTCTTGCGTGTCGTTGCTCGAGAAGCAACTAACGGCCAGCACAACACGAGATGTGTAGAAGCGCCTTGCTGTCGCCACCTCGCAACGATGCCTGGAACGAACTTTGTGGTGGACACATTCGCTACACCAACGTTAACGATTGTTGAGCTTTTGCATTGTACTAGTCAGCTATCATTAACTACTACCCGTATTGTGCCTACGGTTGGGCCCTGATACTGTGCACCGGCAGCCCTTCGCTAAATGCAGCGTCTCTCGCCGCAATCAGAGAGACCATTCTCGGGTCTACACGGCCTTTCGCCCAATGTACCGAATTGTGCCTAGGGCTGCATCTGAATTGTTGGTGTTCAGGGCATGTCATCAACTTTTCACGAAGTCACCGGGGCGAATTGCGGTCGGAAACCAGCGCCCTGAGCTGCGCCCAAGACTCTGCATGTCTTGGTGTGTGAGGACGCGGTGAATTCGAAACACCATCAGTCGAACGCCTCAACGCTTGCTGGCAATCGTAGGCCGAACGTTTATGACACCAACGTTATGTCCTTTGACTAAGAGTGCACTCTAAAGAGCGTCACGAATCGCAGTGATTTAATGATTTAAAGCGCACGTTTGGTGAGACCATTTCCTTGTCCCAGTACCGGGTAAGCTGAGTTGCAATGCGAGTTGCAACCATGCCAATTAAACGGACCTACTAGTATGAATTTATACGAATTAAAATTTGTCAAATACACAGGTAGTATAGTCGAGCCACATACATTTGCTTGCTTGTGTACACAAGTTGACAAGACAAATTGCTGTGATCTGTTTGCAGTTTTGAAGCAGGGCAACGATGGCAGCCTCAACGACTATATATAACATGTGCCAAACTCTGTTGTCGACTAGAACAATGTACTAATACTGCCCCAACGGCCTTTTGGCTAAGACGCGAGCGCAACATCGAAGTGGCAGCCTGGCTGGCTGGCCGGAAGCTTCCGGATACAAGGGCCCATGTGCGAATTCCATTGGTCAAAACGACAACGACGCAGCTCCAGCGAGAAATTGCCCCAGCAAAAATCCTTATTGTGGCATGTGTGAAAACCCAATACCAGGACTCATGTGAGAATCCTGTTTTCACACTCACGCCTGTTTTCACACTGCTGAACATGCAACCCACGTGCCATCTGTCAAAAATCTCCAAAATATGTATCTAGTATTTTGTATAATGGGGCGAAGAAAACAAGCGCGGAGATGAATTCGTATAATCAGAGGTTCAGTAAAAGTGCAGTTTTTGCCGTACTTGAACGGTACTTTTTCGTACTAAATTGGGCCGCACTTAAAAAGACACTTGAGAACGACAAGATTCGTACTTAAGTTGCCAACACGCTGCCCCTCTACGGCATGCGCTCTACACGATCCCCGCGGTGAAAAACACGAAGTGTTTTTCACCGTAGGATCGTGAGATTAGGATTTAGTCGTAGCATACCTTCTCGGCCTTTTGGCTAAGATCAAGTGTAGTATCTGTTCTAATCAGTGTGAAAACTGATTTCCACACTTCGGTGTGGTTTTTTTTCACATTCATTTTTACAAACTCCGATAGTCCAGTTGGCTTGCCACTGACTATTGGACTGGTTTCCGAGGGCCTAGCACTCCTCCCTTGTGAAGCCTAACTACTGCACCTGACCTCTCAACAAACCACCTTCATTCTAAAACAACATAATCCCGCGTCATTTCACCAAACAATCCCCAGTCGCACAATATTTTCTCACGGCGCAACCTCCAGCGCTGCCGACGAGCGTAGCGAGTCGCATGCAACTTTGCCCGCAGGGCCCGAGGCGTAGCCGAGGTCTCGTTCATGGATGTACTACGAGGGTATGAATCCACAGGTGGTCTCATGTCCTCCCAAGAATGTGGTTGGAGCAGCACGACGACCGTTAAGAGTGGTTTTGTCTGGCGGGTCATTCGTGAGAAACGGTAGGACGCGCCACTTTAAAACGTCGCATCATCATCATTCGACCTGCATCCGATGACGAGCGCGGATGATGCTGCGCTCCTGGCGCTCTTGACGGGCGACGACGTCCTGACGCTGCACAGCGACGAGAGCTCGCACGCGGCCAACGACAGCGACGACGTCCTCGAGGTGGTCGACGACGACAACGTGGGGGTCGGCGGAGGTCACGTACACGCTGCGCTTTGATGGTGGGTGCCGCCAGAACGGTTCATCTGCCTCCGCTGGTGGTGGTGCCGGCGCTGTCATCTTTGGCCCGGATGGGCGAATCCGGTGGTCTTGCTATGAGTGGCTACCGCAGCCGACTACGGGCTCTGGTGCGCCTGCTGTGACCAACAACACGGCGGAGCTGCGCTCGGTCTACTTGGGGCTTTGCGGTCTCCTCCACCTCAAGCCCCACCGTGCGCTCATCCAAGGCGACAGCGCGCTGGTCCTCAAGTGGCTTGATGGCAGTACGCGGTGCGCGAAACCCCTTCGTGCCGCCCGCAATGCTGCCCTCGCGGTCCTCACACGCCTGCGCACCTACAACGTCCAGACAACGATGTCCCATATTGGTCGCGGACACAATGCGGTGGCCGACCATCTTGCCAACCGTGCGATGGGCATCCCGTCGATGGGGCTGCAGCCTGGCAACGGGTTGTTCTGCTCGTGCCCGTCACCGTCTCGCAGCTGTTGCCCCGACGGCATGTCGCTGCTGGTGGGCCACGATCCCCGCCATGACGCTGGCGAGCCGCTGGTTGGGCCGTCTGGTGTCGCGCTTGGCCACTTTAGCTCCGCCACGCCAGCCCGTGCTCGGGGCTCTGCAGCGCCGCGGCCGCCAGCCTCTGCTGCCATGCCGCCAGTGCCGACGAGCTCCGTGGACGACGTGGACGACGAACCTGAGGCGTGCCTTAATGGCGGTGATGGCGGCACGACGACTTCGTATGCGACGCTCCGGGCCTCATATTTACGGGCGTCGGTGGCCGCTGCGGTGGCCACCTTGCCTGCGCCGCGCGTGTACCGCTGCATGCTGCGCCTCCCCGTGCGGTCTTCTGGATTGAACTCCGGGCCACTGAACGTGGTTGCGGAAGTCGTGCCTCAAGCTGATGATGATGACGACGCGTCTGCTATCTGGCTTTCGCATCGACACTGCCCTGCGTACGCGGACGTTGGCCACGTGGTCTGCCGCATTTACCTCGACGTTCTGCATGCCTCGCTGCATTGGCCTCGGGCTGCGTCAGGCTCTGTGCTCCGGTTTCTTGTGCCACACGACTGGCTGGCTCTGCTCCGTGGCCTCGCCTCGACAACGGCTCCTCAGACTCCTGCCCATACCCAGTTCCAGCTTGTGGCCCCATTGCTGCAGCAACCGGTTGTACTTGTCGGGGTCGACCACGCTGTGTCGTCGCGTCTTGAGCAGATCGCCCGCCAGCAGCTCCCCCTGCAACGCTTAGCGCGCGACATCTGCTACTGCGCTTCGAGACGCGGTGGCTGCCCCTTCCGGCCTCACTACGGCATCCATCCGCGGTTTCTGTCTGCTCTCCTGTCCTCGTCTGCTCCGCCGTCGTCGTCGGCAGCGCCGTCACCGTCTGCTACGCTGCCCTCGCCTGCAGCGCCGACTAGCCCAGTGGAACCTTCGGGCTCTGCTACCGATGGCGCCACGGTGCCTTTGCGCCGCGCTGTGACTGGTGGCATGCAGCCGCGCCGTGGCTTTGGGACGCGGACACGCCTCGCGCGCGCTGGTGCTGCGGCCTCCTCGTCCCGCATTGCTGGAACGCCGCCGCCTACCCCGGAGTTGACGACCAACGCCACCTCGGTGTCGACACTCCCTCCCGACGGGCCTGCTCTACCGCTTGGTGGTCCCCCT